TGGTACCCTGGATGTGGTTCTGGTTCTGATCAGTCACCAGAGGAAACTTTACAAAGTGACTTCTGGGTAAACGTTCCAGGCTCGTATCAGCATGTGTGATGGTGGTTGGTCAGAACCAGTTCTAGACCATGGAAGGACCGGTTTACCTCCAGAACCTACCAGAACCATCTGCAGACAGGATCCACTCTGAGGATAAATATCTGTTCATCACAGTGGAGGATTGGGAGGATTTCTGACATAAAGAGCAGCGACTAAATGCTTCAGCGTTTTAAAGTGGCTCCAGTAAATAAACAGCTGATTCCTCCTGAGAGAGCAGCTGACTGGAGCACCACGGCAGGGACCAGGATCCATCTGCTCTGTCACGGCATCACGATGGACTGCAGCTAAAGCTGACACACGACGTACTCAGAGTTTACTGCAGATCTGGTTCATATATGAAGCTGTGACCGTTCTGTAGAAGAGCCTGGAGCCGCTGAGCGGGATGTGGAGACGAAGGCAACACCAGGAGCCTCCTGGATGATGCTACTGATCTGCTGATTGCTTAACATCAACACTCTGTCTTAAGTGAAGCTCCAACACTTCAGCTGTTCATCTTCCACCACTGAAGGCCTGATTGGACAACGATGGTTCCTACGTACAGAACCTGAGCACCGACTGGCTCCGACAGAAAACAAACTAATTTATGTTGGACTCATCGAATCACAGATACAGGCTCCACAGTGAGAACTGAATGCAACACATGCAGCCCCACATCATGATGCTGCCACCTCCGTGCTTCACTGTCAGGACCATGGATCCACTGTGGTGGTCCTGGTCAGGTTCACACCAAACATCTGGACTCCATGTGAGCCCAACACATTGATCTCCATCTGACCAGAGGATGTTCTCCAGCATCCATCAGGCTTCTGTTCATGTTCTCTGGTGAACTTTGATGTGGACGTTTTATGATCACAGCTTTTCTAACTTGGCCCTGAATCTTTAAGTCTTTCTAACGATGTTAGTTTCTGAGTTTTCGTCTCAGTGGAGACGTAATGCTGATACGTAGAGAATCAAAGTCACAGAAGAAGCATTTCATTGAACTCTTCATGTTTCTTCTTTATTTATCAGGTCAGTGAAGCTCCGACTTGTTTCCAATGAACTCAGCCAACAACTACTGCAACGACCTGATTGGACAAAGTCTGGTTCCTGCTGACAGAACTAAGCTCTGATTGGCTCCTACAGGTTGGTCATTACCAGTCACCAGAGGGCTGCA